AAAAAAAAAAAAAAACCCACAACTGACCATTAACACACATAGTGACATAACCCAGGACCCAACCCAGCTATGGAAGTATCCAAAGTAAATAAGTCTAGTAGATTGTCAGCAGGGAACCAGAGACAACAATTGACAAATAAGGACAACTACAAACCAAAAAGAGGGAAAAAACTGTGTCGCTACAGAACTTCTAGATGATAGGGAAGTCAAGACAACAGCAAGATAGAACGGACTGCTCCAAACTTGGGAAAAAAATTATAAATCACAGGGTAACCTCAAAGAAAAATGATAAACCTTCACATCAAAATAAAAAAGAGGACCAGCATAAATATTTAGGAAATACTACAATAATAGCATGGAAGGAAGTGACAAGACGATTAATAAACAAAATGAGCTCAGCACAGAAAATTACACGGAACAAAGAAATCAACACCACGAAGAAGCAAAAACAAAAATGCCAGCAACAAATTCCTATTTCCTTATAATTACTTATCTGGCAATGGACTTATATCTAAGATTTACAGAAAACTCCAATGCCTCAACAGCAAAGGGAGTTAACAATGCAATTGAAAAATGGGCAGAAGACATGAATAGACACTTCACCAAGGAGGATATTCAGGTGGCCAGCAAATACATGAACAGATGCTCACAATCATTGGCCATCAGAGACATGCAAATCAAAACAACAACAAGATGCCGTCTCACCCAGCACTGATGGCAAGGTTCAATGAGACAGAAAATAACAAATACTGGCAGGGATGTGGAAAGACTGGGACTCTCATACACTGCTGGTGGGACGGTGAAGTGATACAACCACTGGGGAAAGCAGTACGGTGATTCCTTAGAAAGCTGGAACTGGAGATACCATTTGACCCAGCAATTCCAACACTAGGTATATATATTAGAGAGGTGAGAGCCAGGACAAGAACAGATACTTGCACACCCATGTTCATCACAGCACTATTTACAATAGCAAAAAGATACAAACAACCTATGTGCCAATCAATGCAAGAGTGGATGACCAAACTACGGTACAAACACATAATGGAATGCTATGCAACACTAAAGAATAATGCAGAGTCTGCAAAACACCACATAACATGGATGAACTTGGAGGACATTATGCTGAGTGAAATAAGTCAATCACAGAAGGACAAATGTAGTATTAGTTCAATGTTGTGGAGGCTCAAGGAAAGGTTTATATATGGAAGATAACTTTGTTGGTTTCCACGAGTGGGAGGGGTGGGGAAGGAACATTAAAAAAAAAAGAAGAATGCATCGACCCATGTCACTTTAGTTTTGTGTACTTCATTGTACATAAATTATATTCTAATAAAATTCATTAACAAAAAAGAAAAGATGACAACGACTTTTGGGGATATTTTTGGTTTAAAGTTTAAAGATTAACTCAAGCAAAAGTTTCAGGTGTTCACTCAGCCTCCATGGTTCTCACTGGATTCCATGAGAATTTGAAATTCTGTTCCTTATCTACCCCCTTTTGATCAGGGTTCTTATATATAGAAGCTTTGATCGTAACACTCAGTAATGGCAGCCAGGGATCATCCAGTTCTTCTGTCTCAGGTCAAAGACGGCAAGTGTTCATGGAGTCAATTTGCCACATATTCCAGTTTTCTTCTTCCTGACTCTCCTCCTTCCTCTGTTGCTCCAGGTGAACATATACCAATGCTGCATTTTAGATGAATGTTTGTAAGCTATTAAAGGATTTGCAACGACAACAAACTAAAAGGCAGAAAAGAAGCACTAAACATGGTATTAAGCCAATTAACTTGGATGACTCATGTAACCATGACCCTAAACCTCCAAACTAAGGAAACAAATGATGTAAGATGTTTGGATGTATATAAACAGCCTCAGCAGCTGCTTTTTTTTAAAGTTGTTATTATATCTATCATACATTTGCTGGGTCTTATGGTAGTTTTATTTTAGGTTTTTAGGGAACTGCCTAGAAAATATGTTGTTTAGTTTTCAAGTATGTCAAGATTTTTCTTTTGTTTCTGTGTTACTGATTTTTAGTTTGATTCCATTGTTTTGAGAGAGCAATACTTTCTATGGTTGTAAAGTTGTAAATTTGTTGAGGTGCATTTTATGGTACAAGCTATCTTGATGAATTTCTGTGGACACTTGAATAGAAATCACTCTGCTGTTGTTGGGCGGGGTGTTCTATAAATATAAATTATATTATGTTGGTTGATTGTGTTAAGTTCTTCTATATCCATGCTGAGTTTTTGTCCAGCTGCTAATAAAGATGTTGAAGTCTCTACCTATAACTATACATTTGTCTATTTCTCCCTTTAACACCTAACAGTTTAATGTTTATCATTACTTTGTATTCAATTCTGTTGTTTGGTGCATAAAAATTTAGGATCATGTCTTCCCTTTGGACTGACACTTGAATCATTATTAAATGTCCCTGATGATTTTCTATGTTCTGTAGTCTAATTTATTTGACACGAACAGACCCATTCCTGTTTTCTTTTGGTTACTATTTGCATATCTTTTTCCATCCCTTTACTTTCAACCTATCTGTTCTATTTGAAGATTTTCTTATACAAAACTTGTAATTCGGTTATTCATTTTCATCACTCTCCAAATGTGTCTGTTAATTGGCATATTTAGACCATTTAGATTTGATGTAATTACT